TTCCTGCTGCAAGGGGGGTTGTGGGAACCTCCACCACCAGCTGAGAGCTCGGTGACCTCCCATTGCTCCTGGCACAGCATATGTGACACCTCAGTGGCTGGATGTGCCGGAGGAGACACACTTGAGAAGAGCAGGGGTCTTGCCTTTTTCCCCCCACTTCCAAGTCATTCCTACCACCAGTGGGCCAGGCCACCCTCTCCTGTGGCCATGGAGAACTCCTCCCTGCCTGAGACCAATTCCTCATATGTGGATGGGCCTGTGGACTGCACCGGGAGAGGGGATGGGGGGCTGAATATGTCCGCTCCCCCACTGAGCCCCAGCTTCTACATCATGGTGCCTATCATCTACTCCATCATCTGTGCTGTGGGGCTGACAGGCAACACCGCAGTCATCTATGCAATCCTCAAAGCCCCGAAGATGAAAACAGTCACCAATATCTTCATCCTCAACCTGGCCATTGCTGATGAGCTCTTTACCTTTGTGCTACCCATGAACATTGCTGACTACCTGCTCCTGCAGTGGCCCTTTGGAGAGTTCATGTGCAAGCTCATCGTCTCTATAGACCAGTACAATACCTTCTCCAGCATCTACTTCCTCACCATCATGAGCATTGACCGCTACCTGGTTGTGGTGGCCACCACCAAGTCCAGGAAGATGTCCTACCGCACCTACCGAGCAGCCAAGATTGTGAGCATCTGCGTCTGGTCCTTTGTCACAGTCATCATCCTACCCTTCACCTTCTTTGCTAAGATACACAAGGAGCAGGGGCGCTCCCAGTGTGTCTTCGTGTTCCCCCACCCTGAGAGCGTGTGGTGGAAAGGCAGTCGGATCTACACCCTTATATTAGGCTTTGCCATCCCGGTGTCCACCATCTGCATCCTCTACACCACCATGCTGTGCAGATTGAGACGTGTGCGCCTCCACAGCAATGCAAAAGCCCTGAACAAAGCAAAAAAAAAAGTTATGCTGATGGTTGTTGTCATCTTGGCTGTGTGCCTGTTCTGCTGGACGCCCTATCACCTTAGCACAGTGGTGGCCCTCACCACAGACATCCCACAAACTCCACTGATCATTGGGCTTTCCTACTTCATCACTAGCTTGAGTTACGCCAACAGCTGCTTCAACCCTTTCCTGTATGCCTTTCTGGATGACAATTTCCGGAAGAGCTTTCGCAAACTGATAGGTTGTAGAAACACCTCATAGAGCCAACCCTCTGTCCCCTCCGGTGTCCCTCTCTCACTGTCACCTGCTCTTCCTGGGTGACTCCAGTGCAGAGTGCTTTCTCTCCAGCCTCCTTGTGACAGAGAGACGACACAAACTGGGGAGAGGTGGAGCTTTCTCAACTTCCTTGCACTCATTTCGTCAGCACTGCTCTCCATCCCTTGCCCTCTTTTTTTTATTTTTTTTTTAATCCCTTCTCTCTGCTGTGCTTTCTGTCCTGGGTTTGTAACTCACGCAGCTGCAGCAGGTCCTTCTTCCCTTTTTACAGATACCGCTTTGTGAACTCAAGCCACATGACTGTCTCTTTTACTGGTGATTCGTAAAGTCCAATAAAGGTCTCATTGAGTGTCTTGCTTAATTATTCCTCAGCCTCTTTCATATACACAGCACCTGCTTACTCAAACTCTCGCAGACTTTGCAATATTGAAAAAGGCACAGCTCCAAAGGATAAGGAACGAACCATGGTATTGAGCTCATTTCATTTCACAGGGGACTGAGATAAGGTAGTCAAACTCTGTGATAACAGGTGAGAGAGGCCTCAGTCTGGCTTTAAGGAAGAAAGTGCAAAGTCTCACTAGTGAATAAAATACACAGATGTGGGTTTGGAGCCACTTGCTGTGGAAAATGGCTTAACAGTGTACTTAGGAGCTGTAGTTTGTAAAATCTGCAGCTTTTGTTTGCACCAGAAGTGATGTTTATTTTTTTATTTGTCATATGTTTATGGGCAATCTTCTTGCACACACAGGTATTTTATGGGTTTTGGTTGTAGAAAATAGAATCTGAAGGTATTTTCAGAACAATTTAGCCTCTAAGAGTTTTAGAAGGAGTTGCTGAAACATGGAGAATATTCTGACTTCTTCCCTACAAATCATAAATATCATATGTAGTGATTAGGTTACTTTAATAGTGTCTCACATATTTGTGCTCTGCTTGCTGGTGAGATTTGTTAATATTTCTCTTAAGAAGGACAAAGGAAGTAAAAATATCCACTCAAAACATTAGCTTAATTTTGCCTGGAGGAGGGTCAATGAAAATTTCACTGGAATTCACATGTCCAAGCATTGTATGAGGAGGTTTTGTCCTCTTATCTCCTCTTTTAGCCCTCTAAGGAAAACTGAAAAAATGTGGAAGACTGGGAAAACCCTTGCAGTCACTTAACATTTCTCATCTTAGAGGTCTTCCCTCTTCTCCCCTGCAGCACGCGCAAAATAGTTGTAACACAGATTTTGTTACATATTTCTCCTTCCACTGAATACAGAGATAGGGAAATGCAGTTAAAGAATTGAATTTCCACCAACACAGGAAAGGATGACGGGTTTCAGGAGGTGCGTAACAACTTGTGCAGCACATGCTCAGGTTTGCAAATGCCTCCTGAGAGCCCTTGCACTAGGTCTCCTTCCACTGCTGCAGTCTGGAGTTCTGCCATAGGCATGCAGAAAGTTTATTTTGCTAAATCCTTCTGAGGAAACACCAAATAAGCATATTACTTGCAAGTGTTAGCAGTTATATAAACCCTGGTACTTTATAATGACATATAACTGGGTTGATGATTAAACCATGCAAAGTAACTGATCCCATTTGGGAGTAACTTTTACTGTCAAGTGCACCTGCATTTCCAGATGGAAGTAAATCCAGGATGACCTGCAGATCCAGATGGGTAGTGGCACCATCAGTGTGGGTATGAGTTTCCCAAAAAGAAAATACAGCTTATACTTCTGCAAAGAAAACTATGCAGCAAGTAACAAGGCAGACAAGAGCAGACCTGCTACAGCCTACTACTTTACCTAACAGCAACTACTTTATAGGCTCCCTGGTAGCTCAGGCAGGCCAGGAATGAAAGCCCAAACCTCCTCTGGGTTGAGACATCCTGACCACGAGTAAGGGGCCCTGTGCGGAGGCTCTCAGCCACGCACTCAGCTGCCCGAGCCTTGCTCCCCACCGCGGCGCGTGCAGGCGCCCCTCTGGGGCCCGGGGTTTTAGTCCCCCTGCGGCTGCTGCAGAGCGGATCAACCTGCCCAGGCTCGCTTCGCCATGCAGCCGGGGCACAGGTACCCGGGCGTAAGTAGAGCCAGTCCCACAGAGGCAGCTTCTGGCTGCTTGTGCCTCGTCCTCATCCTCTGTTTATATCACCCCGACTGGTGTTAAGCCCAGCGTTTCAAATTGTTGGCCACTGCCTGAAAACGTGCAGCAATTTTTTGTGTGTGTGTGATTTTTTGGGGGGAGCAAGATGGAGGGAGGAGGCAGGGCTGTATTCTCAGCGCTGCGGCTGGTGAGACTACCAGGATACACCTGTTAAATACCAGGCGTCTTGCCCTGTGGAGAGCAGGGATGGGCAAAGTTCTGGGACCCAGAAGGGGCTGAGCCTCTGATGCAGCAGAAGCGCAAAGGAGCCCAGGCACTCCGCTAATTGAAGGGAGCCTGTAAAGTGGAGATACTCGAAGTATTCTCACTTACACTGCTAACAGGCAGCCCACACATGGAAACTGAGAAAAGAAGCGAACCTGCACAGGTAAATCAGGTACATAAGACTAATCAGGTACAACATCTAAAGCTGACCAGCAGGAAAATATGACCCACATTAAACTATAAAAAGTACGAAGTAGTCATAAAATTAATATAGCAGAACACACAGCAAAGCGTAGTGGAGGAAGATACGTGCAATGCAAGTAAGTGATTGCACATGCTTGGTCAACATGTAAGAACATATGGCATCCGTGAGTTCCTTTGCACCCTTTTTATCCAGGTGTGGCAGCGTGGGTAGCTAAAGGAAACCCTCCGTGCCCAGGGCCCTGTGAAACACCATCATCCGGCCCCACAGGTGTCAGGCGAGATGCAACAGGTCACTTTGCATCCAGATGCTTTAGTCAGCAGCACGAGCTTGCCTTTCATCTGCAAGGTACATACCTCAATATAGTCTTGAGACCCATAGGCTTGATATTGTATACTCTTTACCTAGAGCTGGTGTCACTGCAGTAAGGCCTCACAAGCCAAGGCAGGAGAGAACAGTGTCACCGTTTCTGTATAAGTGGGTATTCAGCTTTCCCCCCATCCCCAAATAATGTGATTAAACAGAACCAGACCTTCAGCTTTTTGTAGGCTGTCAGCACCAAATCTCCTCAATATCTAGGCTTCCGATACGCGTGCATTGCTTTTCATGAGCATCTCCCTATAGTCTATGTATAGCAAGCTATAGAGGTCTAGAGAGTTGTCCACATACAATGTCGGGGGAGGTTTCCATATGATCCCGAGAGCAAGATTAAGACACAAATGAGGTCAAATGCTGTATACCCAAGACAGCTTTTATTATCAAAAGTAAAGAATTATTAGCGATGGGACAGAATGGAATAAAAAGACAGAAATCAAGCAAGCATTCGGGATAGAGTTGCAAGGATAGTCACCACCATGGATCCGTGGCATCCCGGGGCCCAAGTCTCTCGAAGTTTTCGGTGGTAGGTGATCACGCTCAGAGGCGGCCGGCATGCACATGGGCTTGTCTTGGCAGTTCCTTTTACTCTCATTCAAGGCCTGCAATTTTGCATATCTTCACATTCCTGCATATGCACACACACTTCATGGTGGGCGGCTCCAGCGCTGCTCCTCACACAACTGTCTCATGTCTTGTAGTCATTATCTTGGCAAGGCGTTTTTCATCAGCCAGAGATCTCTGTGGCCATGTAGCCATCCTTATCTTGGATAAACAGTCTTTGAGACAAATGTTTTATGATTCAGTCTCTCACAAGAGTAATGCTGTGTGTGACTGTCAAGCACCCCTTCAGAAAGAAACCATGAGTGTACATGTCCCTCAGTGACTGAGGCACACCCTGGGAGCTCTGGTCACTGAAAACCAGGTACTCCTTCAGACCCATGAGTTCTCTGTAAGTTGTTTTAAAAATCACCCTGCACACTCTTCCAGGAGCAGCACAATTGCTTGGCCATTCCTGAGATGACTACCCCAAACCTGTAGCTGCTGTTGACCACCACCAATCCCTTGGGTGCTCTCTTGGGCTCCCTCAGCAGACTGCTTTGACACCAGAGGATTTAGGCAAATTTCTCACTTAGCTCAGGCAAGGTGTATTTTCTCCATATGGGCTTTTGTAACACCTCTAGCCCTGAAAGCCGGCGTAACGGAAGGGATACATCATGCCATGCTATTTTTCAAGTTCCAGATATGTCGCAGCACTGGTTGGCCAAAGCAGCTCTCAACACATATACCTCGTCTCTCATTTTTATATCACTTACCCATTAAGTTTTGCACCTCTGTCAGTTGTATTTTAGTGGCTTTCAAGCGTATCTCCAATTATTTGTTCCACAGCATAAAGCTGCCCTGAAGTCAGGAGCAACACATCAGCAGGCGGAGGTAAGGGGGAGTACACAGGGTCAGAGGAGAGCCACGCAGTGTCCGGCTAAAGTGATCCCTGCGTTTGGGTCCAGGAAGGGAGATCCTGGGCTCTGTCTGTCTTAACACCAAGCGCAATAACAACAGGCCTGTTCTTATGACGGGTTGTAAGAGCCCAGAGGCGATGCTGAGTGCATTTCGGGAGTTCCTACCCTGGTCTAGCTGTCCTCTGCACAGAGGCATTAGCTGTTGCAGCACGCTAGCTGTGCTCCGAGATGGCTGCCTTAATTTCACCCGAAAGGACTTCAGCTAGTACGTTTGTAGGCTGCTCTGCAGAATGGGCCCAAGGGTGGTAAGGGGGAATGATCAGAAGATTTATTTCAAAAGCACTTTCCTGGCTGACATGCGCACATCCCCACAGCACCGTGAAACTTCACAATCCAGGTTCAAGAAATCCTCACTCTGAGCGGTACTAGGAAATCCAGGATCTGCCCCCTAATTCCTCATTCTGAATAGCTGATAACAAGTCGAGTACAAATGCTTGGAGCATATATGTTAATTATAATATATAACCATATAGTACTCAAGGGGACGTGAAACGTCATGCAATTGTTTCCTGACTTGCCGCTCAGGCTACCTGCCGCTG